ATTGATTAAGTTGTTTGAGTGGATTAATAGAGTACATGTCATGCCTATTAGTTCGAGCTCTTTTGGATAAAAGAATAGATAATTTGGCTGTCTTGTTAGGTTGTCTATTTGGTTCTTAAATCGGGTTTCCGTAGTTCTTTTGTGATTAATGGATTTCAACTATTGAATTAATAATTTCCTGTTAATTAATAGTTAAAGAACGTGACTTATTCTGGACGCCATACGGAATAGTCATATTTTTGCCTAGAACAAACCCTCAATTCTAATTGACTAACTAAATCACCACAAATACTAAAAATTAGTGACTGATTCATAATCCTGGACTATCTTTTCTCTTGCTAAATTCTCAATCAATTTTCCGTCAGTTGTTTGATCACTTTATTTTTAATCAATTAAATTCCTTGCATCAATTTTAATTCAAGCTTTACTTTTCAGTTTCAAATCAAAACATTCTCAAATATCTCTTTTAGTTAAAGTAATTTTATTTTATTTTTATTTTTAATTAATAGTTTTCCAATTACTTAGTTGCATTTTCCCCGTGGATTCGACCCTTACTTGAGCACTGTACTATCGCGACTCGTGCACTTGCGAGGACTATTATTAAATTGTCTATCAATTTTTGGCGCCGTTGCCGGGGAATTTGTTTAACTAGTTTTTGGAAAATTGTTAATTTAGTTTTTGTTTTAGTTAGTTGTGTTTGCTTTTCTTTTTTTCGTTTTTTTTGTATGCTTGGTCGCAGGTCACTTAATCCAGATTTGCTATCGTTGAATGACCAAGTTGACTTTATTGGCAAAAGAACAAAGAGGAGGCTCTGATTTGCTCCTAATCCAACAATGGGTGACGCGCAGCTAATGAAAGAGTTTGGGAGACCAACTGTGGGTGTCTCCCCGTCTTGCATTGTACTGAGTGAGGCTGCCCGAAATTATGATCTGAAGACCGTTCACTTTAATCAGTTGCCATCTTTTCATGGGCTTTCTTCTGAGGATGCGCTGATTTTTATTCGAGACTTCTACGGCATTGTTCAGAATTTCCCCTTGCAAGGAGTGACTGAAGATGAGCTGAAGATGAGGTGTTTTCCCTACACTCTAAAAGAAGCTGCGAAGGCATGGTTTATGTCTTTGACACCTGGTTCCCTGCGCACTTGGAATGAAGTTTACAACAAGTTTATTGGCAAGTATTACTCACAGTCCAAAGCTTCTGAATTAAGAAGAAAAATTGCCAATTTTACTCAAGCTGAAGGTGAGCCATTTCATGAGGCATGGGAGAGATTCAAAATGCTACTCACTCAATGCCCTCACCACGGCTATTCATTGGCGCTCCAGAACCAGACTTTTTATGATGGTTTAAACCAAGGGTGTGACACCCCAAAAATTTTAATAACATAAAATAAAATAAAGATAATTCATGAATGATTAAACTGCTATAAAATAAAATAAAATAAAATAAATAATATTGTTAATCAGATAAAATTTTGCTAATAAAATTTAGTGACTTTTTGGGGAGTTGGTTAAATACTTAAATTCATAAAATATACAACATATTAAAACGATACGTTTTTAGACACAACTAAACTCACATTAAATCTACTTAATACGTGTTATATACGTGTATATTAACAATGAAGACCATATTCATATTTGATAAATTAAAATTTCATGATAAGCATGACATGCATAATACCCATCATTTAACAATTATCTTTGGGACTATTCGAATGGCCCAAATGAGGCATTTGTATATCCAGTTCCCACGCACGAAGCCCTAAGTCTGGAATCTTCCGTGAGACACGTATATATATATACTACGTATATCGTTTACGAGCTGCGAAAGAACATTTGTGAAGAAGTTAAACCTGCGTACCTAACCTCGTATGTATATCCCTGCACAAACCGGCCCTACATATATACACACTCTGTATATGTTTACAATTGATGACTATCGAGTCAAACAGCTGCGAAACCTCTCGTAAACATTTCGCCGCCGACGGGCACTAAATCCAAGCAAACTGCGTAACCTACTATCTCGAGTCGCCGGAGAAGAAGGATCCGGCCATCGCTCACTTGAAGCGTCGGAGATCATCGCTGCTGTCTTCGTTGAGGAGGGAGTCTGCTGCCGCTTGTTAGTCACTAGAGGGAATCGAGTCCGCCACGAGCCGTCCCCTGTTTCACGCCAGAAGGAGAGGAGGAGTAGCCGCCGGAGAAGACAAGGAGCTAGCCTCTGGCCGTACCGCCGTTGCCAGCAGTCAACAAACAAGGTATGTCGTTTCCCTACGTTAGCCATTTGAGTTGTTGGAGACGAAGGGCACTGTTCACAGCTTCTTATTAATGCGTTTACTCCATATTCTAATAAGCTGGAATATTATTGTGGCATGGAGTATTTATCAATGAAATAAAGTATATGGCTGAAATACGTAGTACTGTATATCTTTAGGCTGGCCGAACCGTTAATTTAAGATAATAATAACAATAATAACATTAATGGGATAATTAAACTACATATGGGGAATAGTTATTAATTAAAGAATTTTAATATTCTTAGAAGGTGAATTTGGAGAACACTGAGGTAGAAGCTTCGATTAGGAGTTATCGCGATTTGAGGTAAGTTTCATTGCAACCAAAATTATACATTTTACCTCGTAATTATTTTGAATGTTTTAATGTACAATTTGAGTAATGTATTTATGTGTGTTACATTTGAGTAAATGTTATTCTATATGAAGTTGTTGGTACTTGATATATTGGTTGTTATTATTGGATTTTGATACAAGTTATAGTATATGATTTTTGGAAGATTTTCTATTGGTGAGTATTTTGGTGTTGTTGTGAGTAAATTGGATTTTGAGAAAATATATGGTAATTTTAGTGTATTTTGAAAGATACGAACTTTTGATTGGATTTTGAGAAAACAAAGAAAAGTTATTATTTTTAATGGTGACACTAATGTCTATAAGACATAAATATTGATTTTTGGAAATACAAGATAAAAGACTGTTTTCATAATTGGGGCACCACGGGAGAAATCCGTAGGTGTCGGGCCACCTTCACGTCCGTTAATGGTGAGGGAGGGTTAGGACTACTACTACTTGAATCAAGAGGTGTGAAACAAATTAAATTAAATGAATTTTGGAGGGTTCGGTAACCACCCCGAACAATTGGGCATCAGATCCCTTTTTATTTGAGCAGTAGTAGTAGTACCTATTCTCTTAAGGGTCTTTGAACCTAGAACTTAGGGAGTATATCCCATTTGGAGTAGGGAGACGTTGACGTCAGAACTACTTAGACTTCATACTACTCGGAGGGCTTGGAATCCCTTTAGGGGGTGTGCACACTTAAGGTAGAAGTCTAGATTCTAATAGAGGAGATGAGGTACCGAGAGCAGATCGGAGTGACCGTACAAAACAACGGATCACTGGGCTCAAGAATCGAAATAACGCTTGAGCACCGCCCTTCTAAATGAACTAGGAGAATTAGCTATAAAGCTATTTTGAGGTAAATCAAATGTTTTGGTATTTTACTCTTAAAGAGTTGATTAAATACTTTGGAGAAATTATTCCTTATAATACTTATAAGAGTGATTATCGAAATCTTACTATTTGGAGAATGATACTAATTTCTAAGGTACAAATATTGTGATATTGGTTTGGAAAATATATTTGTGGATATTGATTATGTGTTTTGTAAGGATTGTGATGAAGTGCTTATGAGTTTTGAGATGGATATTTGGAGTTTGTATATGATATATGATTGGAAATATTTATGAGGATTTTTATTACATATCTAATGATTTGGAATATTGTTATTTTACATATGAATTATGTTATGAGAATTTACTATAAATATTGTTTTACTTATGATTGGTACGAATGTTTTGAAAAGATTTTCCTCCCAAATGTTTTGCAAAAAAAATTATATATATGTATCAAACGGGATTATTTTACGGGGTTGGGTGGGACTTACTTAGCATTTCCGGCTAATTTTTGTTTCCTTGTTTTTCTTTCTTTTCCTGTACTTTATTTGTGCAGGAGATAAAGCTTGAGTATCTATTTGATGATGATGTTGATTCGAGAGATTCCGCTAGAGAATATGTAATTAGTAGATAACATTGTAGTTTAATTTAATTTTTAAGACGCTTATTGAGTTTAATTGTTTCTATGGTGATTAGCCTGTGCACTCGGTTAGGTTAGAGCCGAGTGTGGCGGTAACGCCCCTATTTCCCTTTTGATTTCCGCTGCAAAACTCTGACGTTTTTGAATAAAGTTGATATTTATTTTGAATAAATTATTGTTTTTGGGTGGGAGAGTTGGGGGTGTTACAAAGGGAGCCAAGCTATTGTTGACAACGCAGCTGGAGGAGCAATGGGAGAGAAGACCGCAGAACAGACTTTAGAGCTTTTCGAGATGCTTGGAGCCAATTCTCAACAGAAGAGTGTGCAGGGCAGAACTCCAGGAATTTATGAAGTGGGCGTTAGGACAGAACTAGCCATCCAGTTGTCCGAGTTGTCCAAACAGATGAAGAACATGTGCACTGTGATGACAACAATGAGCATGTCTACTCCCGTTGTGCATGCAGTACCTGAAGCTGGTTTTGAGCAAGCTCATATGATGAACTCCTACAATCACGGGCCAAGAAATGATCCATTCTCCAACTCTCACAATCCCGGTTGGAGGAACCATCCTAATTTCTCTTGGAGTAACACACAACAAAGCAACCAGCCACCACCTGTCCAAAAGAAGCCTGCTTTGGAGGATACTTTGCAAACTTTCATGCAAATCTGCACCCAAAATCAGCAAGCAAATGAGCAGCGTTTTCAGCGCACCGAGGCCTCTTTGAGGAAGCTAGAGATACAAGTTGGGCAGATTGCTGAATCTCTCCAAGGCCATGTGCAAGGGAAGCTACCGAGCCACACTGAAGAAGCAAAGGCTATTACAGTTCTTAGGAGTGGCAAGATAATTGAGAAAGATGAAAGGCAGCCCATTCTTAAGCCACCGGAAGAGGTAAAAGCTGAAAAGAAGGAAGAAGTTGAGTCTGAATCAGTGGATGAGGAGATCGAGCTGCACAAAGCTGAAGATCCATATGTGCCGCCTAAGCCATATGTTCCACCCGTTCCTTTCCCAAACAGGTTAAAAAGTTCTAAGCTTAACAATTCTTTTGATGAGATTTATAAGTTGTTGTCTAAGGTTAATGTGAATTTGCCTCTTCTTGACATGATAAAAAACATGCCTGCCTACGCTAAATTTTTGAAAGAATTGAGCACTAGAAAGCGTAGGTATGAACCGAATGAAAAAGTGTTTGTTTCTAAGGCTGTTAGTGATGTTTTGCAAAAAGATTTGCCCCCAAAATTAGAAGACCCTGGCAGTTTTATTATCAACATTAATTTGGGGAATTCTAAATCCGAAAAAGCTATGCTTGATTTGGGGGCAAGTATAAATTTGATGCCTTATTCTGTTTACTTGAAATTAGGGTTAAATGAGCTAAAATCCACTACTATGTCCCTACAGCTTGCTGACCGGTCTATTAGATATCCTAGGGGCATTGTAGAGGATGTTTTAGTTCAAGTTGATAAGTTGATCATTCCTGCTGATTTTGTGGTTTTGGATATGGATGATCAGTGCAAGTATGTGAAAGATATGCCAATTTTACTTGGTAGACCTTTTATGGCCACGACAAAAACAATGATTGATGTTCAAAATGGAAAATTGACTATGAGTGTGCTTGATGAAACTGTTGAGTTTTCCATTTTGAAATCAATTAGTATGTCGGCTGATTCTAATTCATGTTTTGCACTTGATATTCTTGATCCTATTGTTTCTTTGGACAAGTTACAGGAAGATGAGCTTGAGAATCATGCTTTTGTGAAAGCGAAAGTTTGCAAGAAGGGCATTAATTGTTTGCATAATAAGTCCATTTTAAGAAAAGATTTTAAACCTGGAATTAAAGTGTTATTGCTTGACTCTCGTTTAAGATTTCTTCCAGGAAAAATAAAGTTTAAGTGGACTGGTCCGTATGTGATTCGCCAAGTTTTTCCCGACGGTGCAATTGAGCTTGAAAATCCAAAATCCGAGAATATTTTTAAAGTGAATGGTGAGAGAGTGAAGAGATATTCATGTAGTGAAGATTCGGTAGAGCGAGTTAAAAGCCTTGATCTTTGGGGACAGTGTTGCTCTTGTTGTGTTTAATCACATATTTTTTTTTAAAAAAAAAACCAAAAAAAAAACAAATTCAAACAAAAAAAAACGATTTTCTTAATTCTGTTTCCCCCCTCCCCAATTTGTTTCTTTTCTTTCTTTGTTAGTTTTAGTTTTGCAGGTCAATTTTCAAGAGGTTTCAGTTTTCGTTTCAAGTGCTTTCAGGGAGTTCTTCTTCACCTTTCTCTTTTTATTAATCTTTCATTGAGGACAATGTTTGAAATAAGTGTGGGGGAGGAGTAGCTCTCGTTTTTTTTTTAGTTTCAAAAACTTCAAAAAAAAAAAATCAGAAAAACTGAAGAAAAAAAAAACTGTTTTTCTTGCTTGGATTTGAGGGAAATTTGATTTCAAGATTACTTTTTTGGCTTCAAGATGTGAAAAAGTTTCCCTTTCATTGGTATGTGGTATGATTGGTGGTTTCCATGATAGATATTCTCTTGAATTTGATTGAGTCCTCACATTGTTTTTACTTGGAGTCAATTTCCTAGTTTCTTGTGTCATTGATTTTGATGTATTTTTCAATTCTTTATGACCTTTTAGGATGCATCTCTAACGTTCTTGGAAAGAGTGTGAGTCCTTTGTCGTTTAGTTAGCATGATAGAACTTGTCCTGTTGCTCTTTTGGAAGCTAAATTATTGCGCAAACTGATTAAGATGTGATCTAGGCCATTTTTCATACCCCAAACCTTTTAGCCTACCCTTTTTATTTTATTTCCGCTTGCTACCCCCTTGAGCCTAATATGTCTTAAAGCATTCTAACGTGCTTTTGACTAATAATTCTTTCTAATTACCCATCAATGTTGACCCGAGCCCAAATAGCCAAAATTTATCCCTCACCCTTGAGTTGACATTTTTTTACTTAAATAGTGACTTGGAAGAGTTTTCATCTTATTGGAGCATTTTTTTTCCCGGCTGTTTGTATATGTAATTTTGTTATGGCAGCTTGACGTTTCCTTTTAGAAGTAGTGTTGATGTAGCATTCAAAAAAAAAGCTGAAAAAAAAAGCAAAGAAAAAAAAGAAAAAAAAAGTGAAAAAAGAGAAAAGTAAAAAAAAAAAAAGATGAATGGAGTTGAAGTTTGTATTCCTTTCAATTTATGTATGTACTCCGTTGTCTTAGAAGCCGGTTGATTGTTGTAATAGTTTTTTGTGCTCCTTTACCATATTTTTGAACTCTTCCTAGGATCAGTTTGGTATAAAAAAATGTCTTCTCCTTTGTTTTGAATCACCACATCCTTTCTTTCATAAACCATCACCCATGACCACGTTACAACCCAATAAAAGTCCTAAGTGATCTTGATCAAGTTGTGCTTTGATAAGGTGGAAGGAAGAGTGCATGATGACTATAGAGTGTTGACTGATTGGCTTTGGATTTTGCATGAATTCTGGAAAGTTTCTTGAGCATCTCACTAGGTCATTTAGAATTGTAAAAGACATCTCTATTAATGAAATGTGAGTCTAGTTGATTGACTTTTGAGTTTGACATTGTGGTGGATACTTGATTCGAATTTCTCGAGTTATCTTGTTATGGAGGGGTTTGTTGGAATGCTTGGTGAGTGAAAGGGGAATTTGATCACTTGTGGCTGATTTAGTTTCTTGATATTAATTTTCCTTGAGGACAAGCAAAATGCAAGTGTGGGGGAGTTTGATGAGCTAGAATTTGTACTTCATTTTTGTATTATTTTATCACAATTCTATGCTTATTATTTGCCTAATTGAGAGGTTGAGAGTTATATTTTGTGTAAAAATGATTTTTACAGGTGGAAACTTTAATTGAAGGATTTGAGGATTTTTGGACTGATTTGTGGAGATTTTCCCTTTTCCAAGGGTTGTTGGAAAATTAAAAGAAGTGAGCCAAATACTTTTTGTTTTGAAGGACTCAACAAACAACAAAATGAAAAAGAGGACTACTCCTCTAAGTGACGGCACCCACATTTGGAGAAAGAAAAAAATCAGTCCAGTTGTGCACTAGGAAAATAAAAGGGCCAGCAAAGTCCAAATTGAAATGGACCAGAGAGTCTGGGCCATGTAACCGCGCCAGAAGCTTTAAAACGTAGCAGCAAGGGTTTTAAGAGGAATAAGCCGGACTGGAGCAGCTAGGCAGGAGGAAGTTCGAGGTCGGGGATTCTGGTCGGGCACTAAACAGAGGAAAGGGCCAGACCGGAAGCTGGAAGGAAGGCTCGTTACCTTGTCTAGTTGGCTGGATTCCAGAAATAAGAACAGCAACAGCAAGTCTTGGAGAAAATTCAGCAATAGCTACACTGGTTTGCTGATATGAAATCCAATTTTCTTCTATTTTTGCTGTGCATTCGATTCGTATAATGTCTAGTTTTACTTATGGAGTACCAAAAGTACTTTGCTTTTTCCATAAGGGGAGAGTCCCTTTATAAAGGGTTGCAAATCCCTTGGGTTTTCCGATGTGGGAAATTAACACACTAGAAACCCATCCTTTTTCCCAGTTTTTTCATTCTAACGGGTAAACTTCGAAAAGCGATTTCTCATTCACCCGTTATCCGTTTTGAGCGTACCATATATCGAATTGTAGCCCTTAACAAGGACAATCCGAAACCACTTTGACCCGACCCAAATCGGAAGTGGACCCCACTCAAAAAATTGCCCCAAAATAGCCATTTAATGCAATTTTTCACACATTTTCCCAACAAATTTACTAATAGCAAGTGTTCCCTTATTAATCTCTCATATATAATGAGGGAATTGTTCCTTATGGGATCCGTCATAGAAACGCTCCCTTTTCCACATGGTATGAGGGATTAAATCCCTTATAAGTTAAAGGAATTAATAGCAACTGTTTTCTCTCATAAGATGCAAGAAACGCAACAAACAAGTCTAAGGGATTAATAAGGGATTCTTCTTTTTATATCCACAACCAACAATATGAAACTAATGAGGGATCTTCCCTTATGGTATAAGGACCTGTCTAGTAATTATTTTAATTAAAACTCCATTATTGCATATTTCTTTATGCATTATTTATTCAAAATTACTGAAAAATCAATTAAAAACAGTAACTAAATGTATTCACATAATTAAAACATACTCCATATTATATAATAAATGATGTCTAACATACTGAATAGTTATTAAAATGTCGTTCAATACTACAAATAAGTTACATGAGACCAAACTAGCATCGTTTAGATCTAAATCCTCGTTGAAATCATCATCGGAGTCCGAGCATGATGACTCATCTTGAGTTGGTCGCACGGGGGGGGGGGGGGGGGGGGGTTGGCAGCACTGTCGGGCGTATGATCGGAGGGCTAGTCAGCCCTTTTGAGCAAGGCTGTGATGATGCCGGTTGTTTACAACCATCGAGACCTAATTGTGGGGGTTGATCCAAGAATGTTTTTGTTGTGCTTGGGCGTATGTAAGTCCAAAAAGTTGCCCAAATGGTCCTGGCCGTTGTCCAAATGGTAATGTCTGGTTGAGTTGAGACTGTCCAAACATTGATGGCGGTTGATGTTGCACTGAGGATCCACCCGCAATAATATTAGAGGATATCATGCTTGGGTTAACAACACCCATGCTGAAGAGAACACCCCACATGTTGCTCATCCCATTGCTGAAGCTTGTTCTTTGCTCCATATTTTCAGCCATCATTTTCTCATTTTGAGTTTTAAGTGCTGCAACTTCAACTCTCAAAGCTTGTATTTCACTTTTCAGCTCAACCACTGCTCCTTCTAATAACTCACACTTGTCCTACAAAGGTAGAAATATTGTGACCAAGTACGTGCATAAAAGCGGAGGGAGGGAGTGTATTCACATAATATGCCCATACAGTGTAGTTATAAATATTACACGATAATCAAATACATTAAATTTAATAAACAATCTAATGCCTATATGCGTGTATGATCAATATTCATACATGTGTTATTATAGCCAATCTTCCATTCTCCTATACTTAAGATTTTCAAAAGGCAATTCATTACCAAAAGTCCAGATGTTGATGTATTTGTGTTAGCGTGTTTTCTCTCTCTTTCTATTAAGTAGAAGAGACTTGTAACGCATACAACCGCATTTGTTCTAGAAAACAAATACAAAAAAGAAATCATTGGCAAAGTGACAATAAGCATGGATTGGAAAGTAGAAAAAATCAAACAAAAAAAGCAACCTTGTAACACCGTCCCCAGATGTATTTTACTTTTAATTGAATAATGTATTTAACCTTATGGAGTGGTTAATGAATATTCGAAGTGGTGAATTTCAATTATTCTCTTGCGTGAATAGTGAATTCGC